AGTTTCACTGACATTGTCCTTTGGGGACTTAACCAGCTGACAATGACCATGAAAATGTTATAATAGCCGGGGCTGGGCAGGTCATTTTTCCTGTGGGAGGGCTATGGCAGTGAGGACAGCTATTTTTGTCACTAAATGTGTTAAAGTTACAATTATGGTAAGTAGAGAGTTGATGGGTTTACTTTGACCTTAGGTGATAGAATGACCAGTAATGATGATGAATCTACAACCTCGCAACACAGAAAACCATTCCTTAATAGGCATTTAATTCACTTATGGTTGTATTATTAAATTTTCTTGGGAAATTTTCTCCATATTCCAAGACTATTACAAGACCATTTTTATCTCTTATGATACTACACTACAAGAAACTTTTATGAAATGAATGTATTGTTAAGTATCCTTAGTGAAGTTCTGAGATTAAAATTAATTATTCATATATAATACCTTTGATCTGATTAGCTATGGATAACCTAAAATTAGGTGTTCAAAAGAAAAATGTACATCTATCTGCTTTGGATTTTTTTCTATACATTTTCTTTGTTGTTGTTAATTCTCACCTGAGAATATTTTTCCATTGATTTTTAGACAGAGTGGAAGAGAGAGGAAGACACAGAGAGAGGCCTTGATGTGAGAAAGACATATAAATGAGTTGCCTTCCACACACACCCTGACCAGGCCAAGGATCAAACTTTCACTACACTCAAACCCCAGATCCTTCAGTATGTAGTTCGACACTCTGACCACTGAGCCAAATGAAGTGAGGCTTTCCTATACGTTTTTTATTCCTCCTCCTGCATGCCTCAGGTTATACAACTGCATTTTTACACTCTTTGGGTGACAGACCCCAGACCTTGAGACATACAGTGAGGAAGAGTCAAATGGACTGGAAAAAGCCATGGCAAATGAACAAAAACTGACCTTTCAGGGAAGATTCTTAACATTATTCATGGCGTCATTATGAAACATTTCTGAGAGGACTCTCAGCACTGAACAGTAATAACCTTGGCAGGTTTTCTGAAGTCAGATTATCTGTGTTCAAATCCTGGCTCTATCATTTCTTCTCTGTGCAACTTTCAACAAGTTATTGAACACCTCTGACTCCTAGATGTTATTTTTTCATCGTCAGTTAATGAGGAGGTTAATAATCCTGGTCTCACAGGGTGTATGGGCTGAATTCTATACCCCAAAATTTATATTTTGCAGTCTTAACCCCCAGTGCTTCAGAAGCTATCTATTTGGAGAGACAGGGTCTTCAACAAGGTGATAATTTAGAACACAGCTATGAGTGTGAGCCCTAATCCGATCTGACTGGTATCCTCATCAGAAAAGGAAATGTGAGCACACTGAGGGACACCAGTGATGAGCACACAGAGGAAAGGCCATTTGAGGACATTGCAAGAAGGACATTGTCTGCAAGCCCAGGAGAGAGGCCTCAAAGACATCAACCCTGACCTTGACCTCTAGCCTCTCGGACTGTGAGGAGATAAATCTCTGTTGTTTGAGTCACCCTGCTATGACAGCTCTAGCAAACTAATATACAAGGTATCACGAGGACTAATGAAAGTTCATGCGTTTCACTATTATTCGGTTTATAAAATTTATATTTTTACTTCTTCTATGTCCTAAATCTGTCATAAATATGAGGTAAAATTCTACTCCACCAATGCTCATGTGTCCTCTGCAAGCCATTTGCCATCTCTGAATTTCAATTTCCACATCCATAAAAGAAGGAGACGGCATTCTTTAATCTCTGAGAAAATCTCGTTCATCTAAAATTAGTGATTTGAATGGATTCAGGTTTGAGGAAAGAAGCTACTCTAGGCTCCAGCAACAAGCAGTTAGGCCTGGGCTAGGAAAGGAGCAGAAAGAGTGATTGTCCCCCTGGCGGGCCAGCTCAGGGAGGGGCCTCTGACACCTCCTCAGAGCGTGCAGCCCCCCCACCCCCCCGCCCCTAGGTCTAAGGGAGACAAATAAAAGAGGCTGCACAACATAGTCTACCCAGCCAAAGAAAGAACAAAAACAATTTGGAGGTAAGCAGAGTGAATGACATTTCATTAGACAATCCCCGAATGACACCAAATATCAAAAAGGAACCGTAGCCTAAATAAATAAATAAAAAGACTTGAAAATTAATTTAGGAGTCATAGCTAGCATTTTAGGAACAGAATGACATAGAATAAGAGACAAGAGAATGTGGAGAACAGATGACAAAAACAGAGCATTTTATAAATAGCCATGATGTGCAAAGCACAGGACTTAATATCCAATATTTTGGCCGCATATCTTGACTTCTTCCTGGAATAAAATATATTATTGGGAAATGGGGTATAAATAATGCCTCAAATAAAGAAAATATGTATGCATTTGGTTTGCATTTTAGCACATTTTAAACTGTCTTTCACCTAAACAAAAATAATTAGCACAGATACATATCACCCAAGTAATGAGGATTATACGCTGAAATTAAATTTTTTATTCACATTTAACCCTGAAGTTCAGCATGGGGCCTTTTAGAAGCTGTCTCCTCTTAGCCATCGGTAAATATCATTCTAATTTTTTCTGCACAGCGAGTATGCATTTGGGAAATCTTGTTCCCCAAGCAAACTCTCAGAGGGGGCCGCTTGCAAACTTCTGCTCCTTCACCGCAGAGAAAAATCTAACGTTACTGCAAGGCCTAGCAGTCATTAGCTGGGGAATCAATTACTCCAGAGACATCTCACTCTCCTTCCCTCACTGCCCAGAGCACAATTGCTGCTAAACGGAAATGAAGCCAAGCTCAAGCACTCTCTCCAGATGGTTTAGGATATTTTATCAATGGGGAAAATGAAAAGCAGGGATAAAAATGTGTGTAACTCATATAAAACGTATGCATTACCCTTACTAATTTAAGTAAAGAAAACATTCTAGAGTGCCATTTTTATGCTTCAACTCTTGCTAACTTACTAAGTAGGCTTTAAATGAAGACAAAATCCAACAGAATTTCTGGAAACATTTTCTTTTAGCAATTCTCCTTTTTTAATGTTTTTATTGATTTCAGGAAGAGGAAGGGAGAGAAAGGGATAGAGAGATAGTAACATCAATGATGAAAGAGAATCATTGATCGGCTCCTTCCTGCACTCCGTACTCTGGGAACCGAGCCCACAACCCAGGCATGTGCCCTGACCAGAAATAGAACTGTGACCTCCTGGTTCAGGCACATTTTTCTTTAATATGAGCCTTTCGTAGAAACCTTAAAGGGAGGGACTAATGTCTCCCCACTCTTATTTCAAGGACAAAAACCCCTCCTGATGATTCTAGAGGCAGTGACACATTATGGGGTAGAAAAAAAGAGTCGACTGAGAAACAGAAGATGAAGGCTTTCATACTTTGCCAACAATTGTATGATGTTAGCCAAGTCACAAATTAAAAAAAAAGAAAAAAATCAGTTTTCTCAACTATCAAGTGACAAGTTAGTCTCTAGGAGCTCTCCTAATATTCTTGATCCATGAGCAACTGTATATTGCTCTCTAACTATATTTCTCTCCCTCCAAGCTTCCCCTTGGAAACTTAATTAGGTGCCCTGTTAGCCAGGGGCTCTGAGCTCTGCACCAGGCAGCACAAAGCACAGTATCTTCCCCACTCAAAGGCAGCTCCTGAGTCCTTGCATCCAGAAATCCCAGGGGAGTTACCAATGCACTTAATGTGTACACACGTACGTCATCTGTGTGAAGTTCACTTTTAGGAAAGAATTGCAGGCTTATTGTGCAAAAATAAGAAAAATTCTGAAAATAAGAACATTAGGGTGATCTAGCTCTGCAACAAGATATTATTGGTCCAAATGATTAACAGAACAATACTGGGGTATAGATGGACAGGGAGACTGACACAGAAGAGCGAGGCCAGAAATAAATCCATGTAGAGATGAGCATTTAGCTAGGAACAAGAGGCTCTGCCTATGAGTATGGGTGTGTGGAGGGAGGCAAGATGGACATTTCCATTAACAAGTAGCTATTGGGGAGGAACTAACTCTCCCGTGACACCAAAATAAACTCCAAATGTCCAACCGATTTCAACTTTTATTTTCTTAAAAATGAAACCTTTATAAGAGGATCAGAAGGAATCTTGGGAGACTGTTTTATTATTGCAAAGTGGGAAAAGCCTTTGAAATAAAGACTCCAAGTTTCAGAAGCCATTGAAAAGCGGAGAAGGGATTTGACCACATTACTTTTTTCAAATGTCTATACTGAAACATAAACCTAAAGTTAAAAATATAAACTTCTAGGCCTACTACCCTTGCGTGAGACACAAACATCCTTGTTTTGTGATGGAACTGAGGCTCATGGAATTTAGCTCAAGAGCTAGACCTGGGGCTCTCATAGCTCTGTGAGAAGGGGATGTCAGTGGAGCTCCTTCTGAGGTTGTTGCTGGGGTAACATGCAAAAATGCAGGACACACAGTGTGCGTGGCTGTGTGAAGAAACTAGTAGGAGCTTATTACTCATGAACTGTCTTTGCTCCACCTGCCAATGTCAATACAGCACAAGGAGAGGTGCTTTGAGGGTGGAGAAAAGAAGTAACACTCGGCTGGGAAATCAAGAAAGGCTCCTGAGCACAAAGTATGGGACCGACACTGAGAGAAGGAAACCTCAGGGCACAGACCCATGAGAAAGCACATCACATCTGCAGACAGGTGCCCTGGGGCCCCGTGGGAGCCACGGCGGGTTAGCTGTCAGGACTGCCCCAGATCCAGCCATTTGTCCTGCACCGGCCTGCCTCCCCTTGTAAGTGGGGAGTCTTTGCGTTTGCAGTGTACATTTGGTTTCTAAATGGTGCACACATGTGGGCTCACCACAGTAAAATCTGTGCCAACCAAATGGGAGCTGTGCAATGAGTCAGTTTTATGTAATTCCAGGATATTAGAGCTGAAACGCTAAAAAATAGCCACTACCATTTATTTGACACCTATTCTGTGTCAGGCGCTATCCCTGGCATGTTATATCCATATTCAATCAAATATTTATGGCATACCCCTATGGCCCATTGGTATCACAAGTGCTGGGGATAGTCCCTGACTCTGTAGCTCTCAGAGCTCAGTGAGGTATGTGGACCAGTAAACAGACAGCTCTAGCACAGAGTGATGGGTGCTGAGTTGGGGACATGCCTTGGGCTCAGAGGGCACTTCCAATAGGGGGTGTTCCATGCTGAGGGCTGACAGAGGAAGAACATGAGGAGGGCAATAAGATGCCCCCAACAGAGCAAGATTGCAGCTGAACAGGAGCCCAGGGGACCTAAGAAATCAAAAGCCTTCAGCTGGCAGGAACAGCGGGTTTCGGGTAGGGAGGAGAGAATGAGGCTGGAGAGGACATAAATGGGAAGCTACCAAAACATTTTTTAAAAAAACATTAAAAGTTGTGTTTTTTGGAAGATCACTCTGGCTGCAGAGTAAACAATGAGGGAGTGGGAGGTGTGAGGGGCAGGGCAGAGTAGTTCCAAGGTCAGGAAGAAATGAGTCACTGAGACTGGTAAGGATGGGATTAGGGATGGGGTTTGTGAGGAAGGAGAAAGAGCCAAGGATAAGGCCCCCCATCTCTGGCTTGAGCAAGTAGGTGTATGCAAGGGCAGGATATACCAGATGGGCAAGATTCAGTGAATCCTCTCCCTTACATTACAAAGTTAAAATGTTATTCCCATCTTACCCATAAGGGTTGGGGGGGAATCAAGGCTCAGAGAGGTTAAGCTAAAAGTTCAAGATCACACAGCAGACAAACAGAGTTAACATCCTTTCTGCTTCACCCTGCTGAAAATATCATTCCAGGTTCCCTGGCTCAACCTCTTCCTCTGATTGGGAGGTAGGAGGCATGGGGAGAGAGGGGTGCATATCACTCATTGAACTTTGCACAAAGCTACTGGAAAGCAGACCTTCCTGCAGCCTGAGTCCCCTAGCTCTCAGAAGCACCACAGCATCCCTGAGATACCCTTCGTCCCCTGTGCTGCCCCCTGGAACAGAAGAGATAGGGCTGCTGAGGGCAGCCTGGAGAATCAAGGGCACTCCCTGGAATTAGTCACAGTTACAGGTGCAGCCTGAGGGATGTCGGGATTCCCCAACCACATCTCTGTAGGCCCCTCCTACCCAAACATCCAGTCCATCACTGAGAGGTACTAAGTGTCTCTCCATTAAAGGCCTGTGCTGATTCCAGCCTCCTGACAGAAGGTGGCCCAGGACACAGTCAATCCAGCCAAGTTTCCCCCGATCTTGCTTCTTTGCTGCATCACGCTAACAGCTATCAGGTCTGAAATCCAGTCTGCCCTGGGCTGTGAGGCAAATGACATGTTCCCTTCCACTTGCCCTTGACCTTGAGGAGGGGTGCGATTTAAGAACTAGAAGCTTTGGAAATGGTCAGACTATGCTCATTTCCTGGTTTTGCCACCCCTGACCCAGTGAGTGACCTTAGTGTAGGCAAGTTCTTCAAGTTAGGCAAGTTCCTAAAATGGAGGAATATTTTATGTAACCTTTAAAACGTCTCATAGTGCTTTTCACATAGCAAACATTAAGAAACGGTGGCTATTATCGTTATTCATCTACGCTAAGTACATTTAAAAGCTCCACATATTTGCATGCCATCATTTTATATTATCACATGCATCACGACTTGCATTAATCACGATGGAATTGACAGCTTTGAAAGGAAAAGGGCAGTCACAAAGCGCCTAAGGGAAGAGGTGTGCCCCTCCTTTCCCTGGCCTTGGTGTGGGGGGTGGAGAGGCTGAGGTTCGGTGTGGGGAAGGTCCAGTTGTTCTCCAGGCTATGACGTTCCAGAACCTCTTCTGCTTCTGTTCCCACCTCCCAGGCCTCACCACCCAGTGTTCTTCCCCAATTCCACCCCCCAGCCAATCACTCTGTGGGTAGATGCCTCCCCAGTCTTGCCTCTCCCTGGTAGGACCCAGTCCTGAGACTATAGAAACTCAGTTCTGGTCCTTTAGATCTCTCTCTGCAGGAAAGGTTAAGCAGTGGGCTACAGGGACAAGCTCAGTGGGCAATCTCATGACCTCGTCAAGTTTCTACACTCTTTAAGCCTCTGTTTACCCACCTGTAAAAGGAGCTCATTATGAACTCACAAGATGGTGCTGAGTACTAAACACAAAAATCCTAAGGCTGTTCTCCAGACCTAACATGTATTCCTCGAATGTTAACTAGTCTTATTCGAGTATCTAATCTCCTTGAGCAAGTTTGTATTTCAGAAGAGCAGAAGGCAGTGAGGTTTAATTATGCATTTTTAACATGGAAATAACTTCTTGATGCTGATATTCTTCTACCGTGTTTCCCCGAAAATAAGACATCCTCCGAAAATAAGACCTAGCGCAATTTTGGGAGAAAAAAATTAATATAAGACACTGTCTTATTTTCAGGGAAACAGGGTACTACTAAATGAGGCCAAGGAACTTTCACTCCACATTACTGGAACGTCCCACTTCTCGGAAAGCCTAACCAATGTAGCCTCCCCTTTGTAGGCTGCAGCAGTGCAGGGCACGCAGCAAAAGGCATGCTGGGTCATCCAGCCTCGCACATAATTCGACCTTCAATCCTAACCAGTGGATAGAGTGTCAGCCTGCAGACTGAAAGGTCACAGGTTTGATTCTGGTCAAGGGCATGTACCTGGTTTTGGGCACATCCCCAGTAGGAGATGTGCAGGAGGCAGCTGATCGATGATTCTCTCTCATCGATGTTTCTAACTCTCTATCCCTCTTCCTTCCTCTCTGTAAAAAATCAATAAAATATATTTTTAAAAAAGTAAAGCATGCTTCATAAAGACTTCCTGAGTAAGAAAGCAAGCCAGTGCATAGATTTAAAACAGTGAGACACAGAGAAATGAAACGATTTGGCCAAGATCAAGGACCTCTTCTGTAACAAGGCCAGGACTAAAATTCATGATCTAATATATTTAGTTTGATATTTAGCCCCGTCTCTAACTAGCTCATCAATTCTTGGCTCCAAAACCCACAGTCAGAAGAAAATGAGAATGGGACAATGCATTTCCTTTAGCATCAATTACTTTGTTATCTCTAAGCGCTATTTAGTTGTTTCCATGGCTCCTGGAGAACATTGACTTTTTGATCTGAAGTGGATCTTAATTCTCTCTGTCCTTTTTCTAAAACAAATGTTAGTAACCGTTTCCTTGCTCTAGTATTTCTCTTACAACCCGCAATAAGCCCTTAAAATCACTTACGTGAACACATGCTATCATTTATCTGTGTTTTGTTCAGTGGTTGGAGAACTCCTTATGAAGAGAGTTTTAGAATGTTCATTTTTCATTTCTTTGAGCTCTAATTTATTGCCTCTTCTGCCCCTGATCGTTTTTCATAACTGTCTCGGGCCTCCTTCATCAGTTCTTCTGTATTTTTGCAAGCATCCCATGTGTGTCCTAAGTTGTTCTTCATTCCCCGTCACTGCCAGATGGGTTTCTACAGTTCCCTTCTACCTTTGTTGTAAATGCTAGCTTTACTTCTACAGTAAGCCTTTCTAACTCCTTTTGTATGTTTAGACAGATGTGATTTCGCTCTGTTGCCCCGGAATGATGAATGGACCAGGAGGGGTTGATATTTCCCTAACAAGACAACTTACTCTTTTTGTGGGATTAATTTGGAAATCTTTGAACCATGTCCATGAAACAATGGGCAAAATTGAATTAAGCAGTTCCACTAGTTTAGCAATTTTTTCCCCTTCATTTATTCTCACCTTCAGAAAATTAAAAGTGAGGTATTTACCTGTTACTAAAACTAGATTATTTTCCTGATTATACCTGATTCTTCTCTATTTAATTATTTTGCTTTAAATCCTTGGGATCTCGCTAGAAATAAACAGGTAGTGAGGGCCAAGCCTTGAACCTGCAACTGCAAACGTGGTGAACCCAGTGGCTTCCTCTCCCCTCACCACCTGGGCTCTCTACCAGGACTGAATGCTGCAAGAACTGGGCATGGCCCATGTTCATGGAGTTGTGATGGAGCCCAACAGTCTCTCTGAGAGACCAACCTGAGAGGTGTGGACTTTTCAAGAGTGGTTCCCAGTTTTTTAACTTTTTAATTTGATGTCATTTCATTTTTTTTCTTTCATTTCTCTTGCCCCAGGAGATATATCAGGAAAAAATGTATTGCCAAGAGAAATATCAAAAAGTTTACTGCCTATTCTTTCTTCTGGAATTTTTATGGTTTCAGGTCTTACATTAAGTCTTTAATCCATTTTGAATTTATTCTTGTATATGTTATATGGAGGTAGTCTAGTTTCATTTTTTGCATATAGCTGTCCAATTTTTCCAACACTGTTTATTAAAAAGACTAAACACACCAACTGTAGAAATATTACGGTATTGTGGGAGGTCATGTTCTGTCTCCTAATAGCATCAGGCTAGGAGATTCCCTGTGGGGGTAAAAGAAAAATAAATAAAGATAAGAGGTTTGTGAATTGTCTCTCTTCTGGGATGTCATTTAGTAATGAACTTGACTTCTCCACTGCTGGGAAGCTCCAAACAAAGAGTGATTACTGCATGTCACTTGGCAGTAAGTTTAAAGCAGAAACATAAACCCTTCTGAATTTTTTATAACTTGTGACTTTGGGGGAAAACATGGATCATAAGAAAAGCAGATTATTTTAAAATTTATTTTTAAAAGAACTGTGCCTGTCATGCCCTGGGTTCAGTGCAGACTTGGCTGTATTTCCCATGGATTTTCCAGAAGAGACCGGGGCAGGGTCTGAATGTTATGATGGCCTGAGGCACTGCAGTAGCTTCAACCTTTAAAGAAATGTTCAATTTTGTTCAGAGTATTTCACTTAGTAAGTTACTAAAGTAGAGAAGTTGAAATATGGATTTTTGGACAGACTTTACAGCAACAAAGAGAGTGTGTAGGATAATCTGGTAACTGAGATCATTTCACCAAAACATCTCAGTTCTTCCACCTTCTGCCCATTATTTTTTAAGCAAAGAAAAGTAAAATGCCTATATGAACAAAAGATTAATAATCCTAAATTATTGGTGGTTCTTATTTCATTGTGGACAGGCTCTGGTGAGCAAGGTAACCCAAAAAGAATCCAAGGGGCTAGCAACTTTTCAGAGACCTCCCAGGGGGGCACAAGACAAGCAAAATAGCAACTCCTCCTCTTTGTACATA